AAAAAAAAAAAAAAAAAAAAAAAAATCTGCCAAGTCCTAGGGGAGAGAGGCCAGAGCAGTCCCCACCCAACAGCCCTAGGCTGAGGATCCAACAGGCTCCTGGGAGCCTTCAGTGACAATGACAGAGGAGGGGCAGCACAGAGCTCCACAGGCTCTTCCACATCAGCAGGACTCAGGAGCAGGGATAGCCCCGCACACCCGGTAGGACCTTGGACAGACACAGCCAGCCAGCATAGAGGAAGTGGCCTGGACCCGGAGAGGGGACCAAGGGGCTCTGCTGAAGCCCCCACTCCCACCCCCACTCCTCTGCTGCCGCTCAGGGTCAGACATCTGGTCTGATATCTGACTTGCTTTGTACTCTCTGGAAACTCCTTTAGTCTTTTAGAGCCTTGGTTTCCCATCTGTGAACTAGAGGTGGCCACGGCCCCACCCTCCTGCAGTCCCTGTGGAGGAGATAGCATCAGCCTGTGAGCTGCCTGCTGATGTGGACAGTGGGGGCCGTTCTGCTTTCTGTCTTTGTCACTACCTGCCCTGGGGCCTCTCCTGCTCGCCTCAGCCCAGTGTTGCCCAGGCTCCAGCTTCCCTGCTGGGCTAGCAGAGGGGAGTGCTGGGGGACACAGGACCAGCTCAGGGCACATGTGCTGGTGAGTAAACCAAGACATGGCTGGAGTCAGCCTGGAACCAGTGGGAGCCCACCCCTCAGACACCATACTTTCCCAGGGCACAGCCCCAGGACCTTGGGCTGGGTGGGGGGGTTCTGGTGGGGCAGGGAGGCAGTAGCGTTGGACCCAGCAGAGCTCAGACCAAGACTTCAGCCCCACACCACACCCCATTCATCAGTCCATCAGTTCCCCTCAAAATAAAAGAGCCAATAAAAAAATGAGCAAGTGGCCAAGCATAGTGGTGCAGGCCTCTAATCCATCACTTGGGAGGTTGAGACAGAAAGATTGTCATGAGTTTGAGGGCAACCAGAGCTACATAATGAGTTTAAGGCCAGCCTGAATTACAGAGTGAGACCTTGTCTCAAAAAAAAAAAAAAATGGGCAAGTGAAATGAATAGGCACTCATCAGAAGGACAAATGGCCAAGTACATGAAGAAATGTTCAACAATTCTCATCATTACAGAAATGCAAATTAAAACACTAAGATTCCATCTCACTACAGAAAGAGTGGCCATCATCAAGAAATCAAATAACAGGACTCGGGATTTAGCTCCATGGTGCCCATGCCTGCCTTGAAAACACAAAGTGCTGAGTTCAATCCCCAATATCAAAATAAATAAATATATTTTTAAAAAATCAAATAACAACAAATGCTGGTGAGGCTGCCTAGGCTGGGGCTAAGAGCCATGGGACACCCCCTTCTCCCAGCACCCCACAGCCAAGTCCCTCTGTACCCTTGCTAGATTCTAGCCAAGGCTGGTGGTCCAGGGCCTGGAGGCATGTGTAGTCACAGTCCATGCATCCTCAGGGAGTCCTCTGGCACTCACAGCCCTCACCACCCAGCGGAAGGCAGGCCAGTAGGATGGTGCTATGGACCCCAGCCTTGGGCCTCCAGTCCTGTCTCCAGGATTGGAGCTCCTGTGTCTCAGGGCAACTTTACCCCCACACACGCATCCAGCCTTGCCAGACCTCCAGGAGGTCTGCTAGGGTTGAGGGGGCTCGGCAGGACCCCAGGTGGCCCTGGGCCAAGAGAAAGACGTCCAACCATGAGTGCCAGCAGTATGCCTCCAGGCTGTCAGGGCTGCACAAACTTGTCTCCCAGGATTTTTCCACACGAAACACGTCTCTCAGAGAAGTAACCGGTCGGATGAGCTGGGTGTGCGTTGTTCCCACCCCGCCTTCCATGCCCCTCCGTGCAGTCGCCAAGAGGCTGCCCACACCAGCGGCCCGGGATGGAGCCCAGGACGACTCAGCCAGCAGCAGCAGCCTCTGGGATGAGCCAAGGGGCTGGCAGGGTCTGGACCACCAGCAGGGTAGGTGCCCCACCCTGCACCTGGTAGACCCCTGGTAGACCTCCACCCAAGGGAGTTCTGCGCCTTCCCAGGGGATGCTCTGCCCCTGGCCCACACTCTCACCACATCCTTACCCCTGATCCTGCCCCCACTAAGGTAAAAGTCAGGGCAGTGGATGGGGGCTCAGAGGGCTCAGGATAAGAGCAGGGACAGGCAGAGGCCTGGGGGGCAGCACTGGCCCAGCATCAGGAGTGAGGGCTGTGGAGCCACCCCCATCCTTCCCAGCCTCTCCCCAGCCTTCCCCAACCCCACCCCGTCTCCTAGGGTCCTGGTGGACGCTGGGCCTGACCAGGGCACCTTCAGAGCATGCCGCCCGCACCCCTGGCAACCCTTTCAGTTCTCCA